CTAAATTTTTCAATATTGTAAAAAATTGGAGAAAAAAAGAAAATTACATTCAAAATTAAGTCTGAAGTGCCATTTCTGGCCATCTAGAGGTGATATAATTGTAAAATTTCTTACCTCAGCCCCAGCCATGGTGGGCCTAAAGTGGTATAGACCCTCCATCTGTCAAAGTCCCTCCCTGGGCCCCCTCTATTTCAAATTCCTGGATCAGCCACTGCTGAGGCTGAAAACACCCTACGCCCCTGCTGTGTTGTATATTCCTGAATAAGGTAAAAAAAAAAATTAAGATGTAAGAAAAACTGTAATTAAGTGAATCAATCATCAATTGACACTTTGAGTGTATGGTTTCAGGCACATGTTCAACAAACCACTGCAACAAAGCACTAAATTCATTCCTTATCTGTGAACTTACGGATAGTGATGTAGGAAGTGTTTGTGTTAAGAAGACCTTGCACAGTGGCTCAAAATTAATTGTTTTTGTGTTTCACATAGTTTGCAATTAATTAAGGAATACAAAACTCTATTCAAAATTTCTGTATGCAATAATATCTATTGAAAACAAAAAGAAAAAGAATTCTGACAATTTCATCATGAAAGACAACCAGATACTTCTCAATAGGGTTGTACTGTACATTACTAGATGATGCAATCAAACATAAAGATTACTCCTATTACTTTTTTATCAAGTCATCGATCAAGAGGGTAGAGGATTTTTCAATTGATGTACAGCATTCCAATCAGTATAAACAACTTTTACATGACTAATATTTTCATTTTGCTTTTCTCAATAAAACAGTAGCGGGAGGTGTGGGTCAGAAGAGCTAAGGCCGCCAGAACTCGAGGACCTGTTTTATTTTGGGCATAATATGCTACAAAACATTGCAAAACAGCTAAAAAAGACCCAGTATTAGCCAGTTTCTATAGATGCTAGTGGTTAGCCCCTGGACCCCAACCACAGCTCACCTTGGAAATGTCAGATCCCTCACAGGCACCTTCACCCACCCCTCAAATCCCCATAAAAGGGATCCTAGAGCCACCACTGCGATGTAACATTATCATCCAAGCCTAACATTCTCCCCTTGTTTTCTTCCGTCAGATTCACAAAAAATGGCAACAGTGTTTAAGGATGAGAAGGATCTGCAACCTATGACCTGGCTTCACAAGTTCTGCTGTCGTATCTTGAAAGCGGGACCAATTCCCAAACATGTTGCCATCATCATGGATGGCAACAGAAGATTCGCCAAGAAGCATCAATATGACAGTACACTTGGACATGCAAAAGGATTTGATAAATTAGCAGAGGTAAGCTAAAATTTAGTATTGTTATTGATTGCTATTATTTTTTAAATTATTATCAAAAAATGAAAGAAAGAAAATTATACCCAAATTTAAGTCTGAGAGTGCCATTTCCAGTCATCTAGAGGTGCCATACTCATACATGTTCTTACCTCTCCAATTTTGAATTCCTAGATCAACCACTGTTATTGTTGTGGTTATTTATTTTTATTTATCTTGTCATTCATTAAATGTTGTTGTAGTAAAAAATAATACCATTATGTGCAATTAGTAATATTAAATTATTTTTTTCAGACTTTAATGTGGTGTTCGGAACTAGGTATCAACGAGGTAACAATATACGCATTTAGTATAGAAAACTTCAAAAGATCAAAGGAAGAAGTGAATTACATAATGGATCTTGCAAGGGAAAAATTCCATCGGCTTCAAGCAGAGAAGTATGTAGTAAGACTTTGTTGTTTTGTGCAATACTGTGGTTATAATTCTTTGATGGCTGACATTTAAATATTTCATGCATTTTAATGCAAATTACAGATTTGTCATGCAGTAGAATGT